ATAAATAAAGGCTGTAATAATTTTGAACTCATGGCTAGTGAAATATGAAAAGAGGACCTTCAGGAAAAACACTGACTTTGAAGTTGCCTAGTTTTTAATGCTTAAAAAAAAAAAAACGCTTTAATAAGTAAAGACAAAAAGTAAGGACATATTTGCAAAACTTTATAAAAGAGGTGCATTAGTGCCACAATTTTTTACACTTTTTGGTGTAATCAACATAGAGATTTTTTACTAAACAGTTGTCTTAAGACCCGTCCACACCATGAACGATAACTATAATGATAACTACATTAGCGTCTATACCAGCGGATGATATTGTCTGTTTATTCTAAGCGCACGCTCGTCTGCCGCTTTTAATTCTCAAGCTTGTTATAGCAGGATTGATTCTGATTGGGTGTCATTGTTTTTATCGTTCATCAGCTGGAAAAAATTGTTCAGAAAGTGATTCCAACAATATTGTTTCCCTGTGCCTTTATCGTTATAACTGTGGTATGGACTCTGCTATTATTTAATATTGAGAACGTTTAGAACCATATCTTTATCGTTATCTTTATAGTTATCGTCCTTGGTGTGAACAAGCCTTTAGTTATCTTTGAATATTCATCTGAGTTAGTGATAATGTAATATCATAATTTGATATAAATTAACATGTTAATATTTTAGTGATCATCTCCCCAAATGTTACTTTTTTCCCCAAGTAATGGTAGGTGCAGTACTTGTTTTGTCTCATATCTCAAGAATTAGTGAGTTATATTTAGTGAGAGGTCAGTTTCTTATACAAAAACGCCATTGTTAGTAGCGCTGGTGCCCACATGGATGATGAATCAGAAACTGTGCTGATAGTTAATGTCATTAGTCCAGGCAGATCTACAGATCGTGAGGTCTTATCATCCGCCCAATGATTAAATTTGTGTCAGCCCCATCAGATGCAAAAAAAAAAAAAAAAAGCCAAAATATTGTTAAATTTTGCATTCACTTTAATAAATAAAGTGCAGGCGTTAAGGAAACACATATTTTGATATCACATATTAGTCATTGTTTTTCTGGTGATATTAGCTAACATGACAGTTGACAGTAACTTGACAAAATTTGGAAAATTGCCTAAAAATCTCAAACAACTGATTTACATCATATTTTGAGTTAAGATGAATCAGAAACTGTGCTGATAGTTAATGTCATTAGTCCAGGCAGATCTACAGATCGTGAGGTCTTATCATCCGCCCATGGGACATTAGTACCCAGCAGGAGTGTGTGAGTGGTAGTAACGCAGTGTATCTGAGCAGTCATCTGTCCGCCCCATGTCCTCCTCGGGCTCCAGTACTCCAGTACTCGGGGTCCAGATGGTCCATTCTTGCCATCATCTCTGCCACGGTGCCATTTCTAATCAAAGGAGAAAAAAAGATCCAATATTTCCACAAGCAGATCTGCTTGTGCAATGATTGAATAATCAAATTTGTCCAGTGCATGATTAAGAAATAGATTTGTGGAATGGAACTTGGAATGCAATGGCACTAGCAAGGCCATCTGACAAGCATTTTTCCAATAAACTGTGGTGTTGTCAATGAAAATGACTCATCATGTAGAGCCAATATGCACTTCATATGAAGGAATTCATCAATTGATGTGGTGAGGTATTGATTGCATTCACAAACCCAGGAATGGGGGATTCTCTCTGATTATTTCAGCGGCTGACACTTTTCTGTGAGTAATCTTCACACGCTGTGGTGTTGAATGGAGGTGTCTAGTATTTCAAGAAAAAATGAGAGATCTGTGAGATTTCAGTTCTTTCGGAGGAACCCAGTAGCTTTGCTAATGGGTTTTCAAAAATTTCTTCATCTGTTTTTGTTTTATAAACAGTGATCTTTATCTACTTTTCAAGCAAATCTTAGAGACTGTGACCTAATGCGTCCTATTTATGTCTATATATAAATATATCCACACCTTTTTCAGTTGGCAGGATTTTTTAAAGTTATTAACAGAGCAATGGACGAATGAGAAAGGAAAGAGTGTGACATAGTTGATATTAAAAGCGCAGTAAGCTGAGAAAGAGATCCGAATCCGGTAACAACGTACTAGCTGTGTCCCAGTTCTGAGGCTGCATCCTTCGAAGGATGCAGACTTCAAAGGTCATGCCTTTGAAGGCCGCAAAGGTCAAATACACACATAAATGTGTCAAAATGCATGCTGTGGCAGGTATCCATGTAAACCCATTTAGTTATGTTTTAGTTGAATGTAAATAGTTGTGAGAAAGTAGGATGTGTGTCAGTATATTAGGTCTGTGAATTAGGTCTTAAAGTGACAGCAGACATAATAAATCTGCTACTGCCTGTACCATTAATATTAATCAAACAACATAAGAAAAAAAAAGAAAATCACTCACTGCTTTTGACCAAATAATTTTTTGTAGATTTAATTAAAATCGCTGTATATTTATTTCATACAGTGTTGCATTTTTCATCGATCTATTACCTTAAAAATTTAAAGCACTGTTTACTTCATTTGTATCTTTGTTCTATTTTATTTATTTGATACATTGCTTCTCATTTGTTCTTTGTTTTGACTGTTTACTTGTCTTGAATAAGCTTGAGCACTTTTTACTTGCGTGTTAGTTGTAGGGCTTACTAGATTTTTATCAAAGCTTGCAAAATAGTCTTAAAAATCAACATGAAAAAAAAATCATGATAAGATGTGGATCGTGATCCTTCCTGACAAAATCGTGATATGAGATTTTTGCCATATCGTCCACCCCTATTTTTAAATTAAGCAGTTTTTTCATTTAGTCCTTGTTATCCACAGGTCTAAAGAACTAATCAAAGAGGCCATTCTTGACAATGACTTCATGAAGAACTTGGAGCTGTCTCAGATTCAGGAGATTGTGGACTGCATGTACCCTGTGGAGTATGATAAAGATAGTTGTATCATCAAAGAAGGCGATGTGGGCTCCCTGGTCTATGTCATGGAAGGTAGGTCATGTCAAAGTATTCTTGCTGTTTACTTTACTGTGTTTTACAGCTGTAACAGATGATATACAGATAGGCCAGTAAACCACAAGAGGCTGTGCATTACAGTGATTTTACCTCGGGTATGGGGTGTTCTTTGGAAAAACCTCTTAACTGTGTAACACACGATGGTGTATTGCTTTACTTTGGATACTGAACATTTTATGGCCATAAATAATTTGTATAAGACACGAAACTGCATTTTTATAATTTATTTATTTTATTAAAGGGGTCATAGGATGCCCATTTTCCACAAGTTGATATGATTCTTTAGGGTCTTAATGAAAAATCTGTAACATAGTTTCGTTAAAATTTCTCAATGGTAGTGTAAAAAACACCTTTTTTACCCTGTCAAAAACAGCTCTTTTCAGAGCACGCAGTTTTGTAGCATTTTCCTTTAAATGTTAATGAGCTCTGCTGACCGCTCTCCTAGAAACTGTTTACTTTAGCTGCATTCATCGTCAAAACTTGCTAATTAGCACATTATTAGGAAAGGCGATTTGCAAAGGTTCGTTAAAAAAACCTTACACTCACTTCTTCTGTTGGTTGAAGCTGGATCACGAATGATTCGCGCAAACATAGACGCATTTATGTAGATCGAGGGGCGCATTCCCTTCAAAAACAAACATAATCCACTGCGTCTTATAAAAGTGCATGTAGCGTTATATGACCCCTTTAAAATACATGCTCCCATTTAGCATTATTTACATGATTTATTTACCAGTATATTGAGTGAATTCAGTTAAAGGCCCAATTTACCTTATTTTGCCCTATGTAAAAAAAAAAAAAAAGGTTCCAAAAGTTTTTCTTTTTTTTTTGCAGTGATACCACAGAAGAACTATTTTGGGTTCCCAAAATAACCTTTCTGTGAACGGTTTTTAAAAGTGTCAAGAACATTTTAATAATCTAAAGGACCTTTTTCCACTATAAATAACTTTTTGTCCAATGGAAAAGTTTCATGAATGTTGAAGGTTCTTCGTGGAACCATCAATGCCAGTAAAGAACCTTTACTTTTAAGAGTGTATGAGATCAGCTAGTTGGTAACACTTCATAATAAGGTCTGAAGTTCTGGAGGAAAAACCTTCTGATACTAAAATTTCTAGATGATAAAGCAGTTTATAGCTACAGTTTGGGGTTTAGTTTCTGCTCTGTGTAGATATTAATTACCACTTGGATGTAAATGTAAATGCCCCCCTCGTTATGTAAATTAAATTTTATGATGATACAATTTGTAATAGTTCTCACAGGCCTACTTCAGTTTTTACAATTTGTTAAATTGATGACTCTTATGAAAGGAAATGCTTCATGTAGTAACTCACAAATCACTTTATTTTCAGTAGAGAGCAGCAGTGTAAACCCCGGCACAGGTTCACACACCAATCGAGAGTCTGTTCAGTTATACATTTTGGTTGTCACTCTAGTTTACAACCAATCAACATGAGAAAAAAACACATTTAGCTCTCGAAAATAGGGCTGATGCTGTTTGAACGTTGGCTTAGAACTGAACTTGAGGAGTAATAACCGTAGCCTTATTTAATGCACTTCCAATTTAGCTGTTCATCTCCAGGTGGCCGGTTTGAATGGTGAGTTTTATGGTCACCTTGGATCTATTCACAGACATAACATAGATCTCTTTCTTCTTTTAACATGTTTTATTTCCGTGTGGTCTGCTGCAGGTTCTGTTGCAGTGATGTAAAATCTCCTGTTTTGTTGACCATAAACAAAAGTCCTTTTAGACGTATTCACATCTTATTTAAGCCATCGGCTGTCCACGTATTTGGTTCAGACACCACAGGGCTTTTCTGAATGCACAGCCCCCCTCGGTGCTACAGCGGTCTCTGGAAGCATTTAAAAGTTCACTTATAGCCAGTCTGAAAATGTAGTCTGAAGTTTATTGTGAAGTGCACCTTGTTCAAAAAACAAAAACAAAAACTTTTTTTGGTGTCGCTCTTGCTGAATTGGTCTCTAGTTGCCCTTTAAAAATATAAACTGTTAATAAGATGGTTTCTAGTCTTAAAGATCTTCTAGTCTTGAGCTGAATTCAGAGTGTCTGCATGGAACGTTTCCATGGATTTTAAAGGTTCTTCATGGAACCATAGATGCCAATAAAGAACCTTTATTTTTAAGAGTGTAAAACAAATCAAACTAATTTTAGAAGTGTAGCTAAATAGGTGGGAGCACAGAGTTTGCTTTAATGCTAGGGTCATTGGATGTGTTGCAAGAGAAAGATTGCTTCCAAAATGTTTCAGACACATTTAAAATTCATCATTCTGCGCTGTAGGGTTTTGGTATTTACAAAAAACAGAAGTGCTTGAGTTGAAATATCGCATGAATGGCTTTGAATAGGCATTCAAGTGAGAGCCACTCACTGTGGTGTTTTTTCACAGCACTGCACCCATGAACCATTTTTGCCTCTCCAAACTAACCCCTGCCAGTCACAACAGGAGGCATGCTCTTTACCGCCAAACCTTTCAGTCTGCTCCCAGTAATGTACACTTGGTAGGCGGCTCACCTCCTCCTGGTGTATTGTTGTAGCTGTAGAATATGTCGGTAGTTGCCTCTAGCCACTTGAGATGCTAATTTCCTCTAATTTATTGCCTTGCCCTTGTGTCCACCCTCTCATTTGATTCCAAACCTCCTAAGACTGACTGTGGTCCTCTTCATGAATGTATTTAGTAAGCATTTTTGGCAATTATGTGTACGCCCTAATGTGAACTTGAATGTGTAATATTAAATGTCAAAATAGTTCACCCAAGAATGAAAATTGGCTGAAAATTAAATCACTCTCAGACCTTCCATAATGTAGATGAATTTGTTTCTCCATCAGAACAGATTTGGCGAACACAGAATGAGAGTCCAAACAGCTGATACAAACATCACAATAATCCACACCAATCCAGTCCATCAGTTAATATCTTGTGAAGCAAAAAGCTGCATGTTTGTAAGAAACAAATTCATCATTTAGATGCTTTTAATTTCAAACCATTGCTTATGGCTAAAATACGAGTCCTCTATACATAAAATTGCTTATTCCAGTGGAAAAAGTCGTCTTGTCTGAATCAGGAAATTTTCAGTTTACAATGCAAAACCAGTCCATAACAGTTCTAAACAAATGTGTAGGTGATTTTGATGTGAGAGGACAACAGGGGATGGACTTTTTCACTGGAGGGAGCGTTATTATGGATTATGGACTCTTGTTCTGGCTAGAAGTAATGGTTTGAAATTAAAATGCCTTGATTAATTTGTTTCTTACAAACACAGTTTTTCGCTTCACAAGATGTAACTGCTTGACTGGAGTCATGTGAATTACTTGTGGATTATTGTGATGTTTTTATGTTATTGTGATGTTTTATTATGTTTTTATTTAGTGTGCTGTTTGGACTCTCATTCTGACGGCACCCATTCACTGCAGAGGATCCATTGGTGAACAAGTGATGTAATGCTAAATTTCCCCAAATCTAATTTGATGAAAAAAAAACAACAACTTTCCATCTCTTAATTTGTATTAATATGCTGAATTAACTTCAGACAGACCCCTTTGGTGCACAGCAGTCCAAATTTAAGCAATTAAATATTTGAAGCAACAGGTCACCCAATTTGCTGGGAGGCAACTGAAGGAATTAGAGGTTAGGAACATATTAATCTGACAGCTGTTAATGAAAAACACTTACAGATTCCTTGTGCTCAGCTACAATTCTAAGATATAGAAGCAGAATTTATCTATTGTCTGACAGAAGTTACTTGATAATTAGTAGGCATGTACATTTTCCTGGTGTCGATATGGATTTGATATGCATCCAGACAGAAAAATATATTTACAATTTATTAATTGTACTCTGGTAGAAAAATGGCTTTGAAATATCTATATTTTTTTTACTCAGAAAATGCTAGTAAATTTCACAAATAATAACAAAGAAATGGCAAGTATCACATTGAATTAAACATGAAATTTAGAAATGGAAAGACTGAAGTAGTATTTTCTTGTAAAACATCCTCCAGTAATCTTTGTTTTATTTGTGTTATTTATTGGGTCATGTAAGAAATGTGAATACTTAAAATGCTTATAAAGAAATAAATACAGTTATTTCATTTAAGGCTAAACAGAACATTATGGGAGTATCTTTTCTTAAAGTTTTGTACCAAGTAACTTTGAAACCCTGATTTGATAAAATTATTTTATTTTTGTTAGATCCACTACTAATAGTGGCTTTGACACAGGTCTCAGATTGTTGCAGACTTTCCCAGCCAATCAGTGGTGAACAATGAGCGAATCAATAACAATGTTAGTAAACTGACAACAAAATCACACCCACATTGTTTTAGAAGAAGGAGAAGGCTTATTTTCGGGCCGTCATTTGCGATTTCATGCGTCACATGCTAAAGCTTTATTAGAATTCACTGAAGTCGAGCCAATGATGAGTAGTGCTGGATTATAAAACATGTTTCAGGATGACCATCAGTGACATGAAATAATGACAACATTTTTCACAAGACTTCCTTTCCTGCTTACGTATGAGGAGTTGGCAAGAGACCCACTACATTTACAACACGCAAGTAAGCGTGATCCAAGCAGGAAAAGCCTCCCCCTTATGCCCTCTGAAGACGGCAGAAGTGATGATGAAACCGAGCTATACTTAGCCATGTGAGATCTGAACACTGAGAGCATGACTTGTCACATTTACTTTGGGAAAGACGCAGATGCAGCGGATCTCTGCTCTAGAAAACAGCAAGTAACAGTTTCTCCAGTCTTCTGCCAAACTGCCACAAACTGTCCCTGCATGCCGATGGTTGCATAGCAACCCCATTAATGCTCACCCGGGGTAGTTTATTTACATTCGCATTAATATACTGTGCCCCACAAACCCAGCATGGGATATTGCGTAAGATTGTCTGAAGTTTCAATCATGTGGAGCACAATATGTGTGAACTATGGTGAGAAAACCTGTTAGTCATCCGGAGATCTG